ACAGGGGCACGTGGCTTCGCGGGTTCGATCGCGAGCCCCAGCAGGTGCTGGACGCCATCGCCGAGAGCACCGGGGTCGAGCTGGCGGAGATGCCGGTATGTTTCGCGCCGACCTACCTACGGTTGCCAAACACTCTGACGGATCGTAAGGCCTGGCAAACAGCCACCCTCGCCGGGAAAGACGTTTATTTAGGTAAAGAAAAAAAAGACGGTGCGAAAGCGCAGGAGGAAGAGGAGAGCCTTGCCGCTGCCGCTGATCTGATAGCTTGTCGCACACGCACCAACTTTGCGCATCAGCGCATTCCCGCGTGGTGTGATCGTATATTGTTTAATCCAGCTGCATTGGAGTTCATAACTAGACGGCGAGGAGGTAGCGGCGGTTCTGGGTCTCTTCAACAAAATCGTAGCTCGAAGGAAGGAAACGGCAATAACAGTGGTTCTGTTAAAGAGGGTAACAATGCGAGTAAGAATCACCCCAGTGAAGTACGGAGAAGCTGTACGGAAAGAGAGAGCCACACAAGCGACTTAACATCTCATGGAAATAAAAATTTAGGGACTTCTGATATCTTGTATTTGTACGACGCTGTATCCCTATTGCACACCGATCACGACGGAGTTTTCTTATTGTTTTAAACCTTGCCAATGAGAAACGCATTCGGTGAGTTAATATTCCCTTGGAGGCATTCCTAAGCTGTTGGTGGCAAGAAAAAGGATAGAATTCGTCTACATAAAATTCTTTCTCTCCGACTTACGTCTACATGGCACGACTCCCCTGTAAGCTCGCACACAAGGTCTCACAGATAAAGTTACTAATTGACTTGCGAAAGGAAGTCTCCACAAAAAAAAAAAGATAATGATGCCAAACAGCTCTTAATGAATGCACACGCATATGATGTTTAGATACTTTTCCCCATTTCACATCCTGACCATTTGCTATGATCTGTGGTTTCCAGACAGTAATTTATTCACGAAACTTTCTCTTATCAACTAACCTTTAGTGATTAAAAAAGGCAAAATGACCTAATTCATATTTGTAATTGAAATAAACTCAATTCTATTTCTTTGCTGTTTTACAAACACAAATACCGGTTATTTTTCCCTTCTACTCTATCCATGTTTCCAGGAAGATTTTCTTGAATGACCTCTTTTGTATCCTGGTCTTTGTAATTTAACGCCAATTCCAAGTACTGTAACTAAAATATCGAAAGGAGAAACTCTAACCGAAAATGCCTTTTACGACTTCCCTCGACTAGAATTCTAGGTGTTCTTATTTCACCGTCTGCATATTATGGGTTACATCCTCTTTACATCATGATATCCTTGACAACACTAATGATAGTTGGCAACCCCATTTATATAGAGCGAGGGAGTAGTTTTTTCGCATCCAAACCTTCCTGTTATCGTAGGCCTCTTTTAACTAACCCTATTTCCTCTTTTTTCAATTCATACCAACACTATATTAGTGAATATATTTCATCCTTTTGTTTAGGTCACTTTTTCCAATGCTGCTTTGATTTGCCCCAGAGTTCATCAACTTTAGGATGATTAATCAAATCTGAGGCGTGCATGTAGGAAACGAATAGCGTAATTGCATTTTTTATTTCGATTTCTCCCCCTCTTTTTTCTTCCGAGCTGCTGAGAATGAAAAATCAAAAAAATGCATATCACTCCATTACAGGCCTTAACGCAACATACTGTCGAAAAAATCCTATCATAAGCTTAATAGAGAAGTTTTGAGGGAATTGTATTTCCCCTATTTCGCGATCTCTTCATGAATACCATGGTATTTTCCATTCCTTCTACCAGCTTTTCCAATATATTTCCTTTGTCTATTCCTTGTTCTCCTGCCTTTCAGTGTTAGTTTATTTCTACATCATTTTCCCTAAACTTAGATACCTATTACTGCATTTAAGGGGTAGTAAAGGGCACTTCTTACATGGTGTTGACTTCAGTTACACATACACAACTAAAATAAAAGTCGAATCCTTTTGGATTATTGTTTAGTTTGTTTTTGGTATTCGGATTTTTTTAATCTAGGGGGAGGGGGAGGGAGGCATTTACTTGTGACACAGCTGTTTCTTGACCTATTCATTTCTTTCCGTTGAGTATCCTTACTACACACACACACACATACATACGCATCTTTGTTAGAAATACGATGTCAAATTCCATTTTCCTCCTCCGGTCTGGGGCACCTGCTGGGCTAATGGAAGCAGCAGCCATGTTGATCACCCAGGCCACAGGGGGGGCTATAACCCCCGTGTTCGTCAAGGTCGCAGAGCGGAACGCCGTGGTGGTGGGGGTCGACCCCCCCAGCGGCGCCTATGCGAGCGTGGTGCGGCCCCCTGACAACCCCAACCCGACCTACGCAGGTGTTCAGACGGTGGTCGTGCGCTCGATCCTACCTCGGGAGCCCCCACAGCACCTCCAGCTGCGCGATATCCTTGACGTCTACCTCGGATCGGGCATTGACGGCGCCTCGGAGGCAAAGCGGGCGGGCTCGACCTTCACAAAAGCCGCCAAGCTCGCCGTGGAGTTCGCGAAGGAGCAGACGGCCTCGCGGCTGACGCTCGTAATCAAAACCGCGACAAAATACGAGAACTTAAACAACGTCTTCGTGAGATGCGCGACCGAGGTCGCCGAGTCGGCGGGCCTCACAACGGAGGTGCTCCACACTGCAAAGGCCGCGAACGAGCTCGTGATCTTCCCGGAGAAGTACGGCGTGGTGCTGGTTAACGACAATCCCATCTGCGAGAATGTGCAGCGCGCCTTCGCGGGGGTGGTCGGCGGGGCTCCGGAGATTTTTTACTTGGATGGGGGCGACTGCATCTCTGGTGGGGCGAGCTACCGCTCAATCGCGCTCGCGGTGGCGCAGGAGTTGGTGAGTTTAGGGATGCCGCAAGAAGCAGAAAAGGTGCGCGCGGCGGCCGCAAAGGACACGCGCAAGGTAGTGCTTTGACAGGTTTATTAAAGCTCCTTTTCTCTTCTTCTCTCTCTTCTTTATCTATGACGAATAATAAAAAAGTTGAAAAACGGAGTTACTCAACTAATAGTGTCTAGGCAACAAAATCTAAGAAATTGAGCTACTAAATAGCGTAGAGAGAGGGAGATTATTATTACTTGCGCCTTAAATTGTAGATACGAGATTCCTTCCTTTTTCCTAGGAAAGAGAAAGTGATTTTTTTTACCTTGTAGTAACTGATATCGATCACGCACAGAAGGTACAAATGTGCTTTGTAGAAATATGTTGTTAGTAAATAAAAAATAAAGCAGTCATCCTCCTTGGAAAAGGAACTAGATGCATTAAAAATGTTATAACTCTTTCCAAAATAGAGATTCTAAAAAAAATTATTCTCTTCATTATTTATTCCTACTTATTTATCCTGAAAGTTGATAGAGACCCACGTTTATATATTCTTTATGGTTTATGCACTATATTTCTAAAGAAAAAGACCAAATACACGAAACGGAAATAATAATATTCTCAAGCAATAGAAAGCATCACAAACCATACTATATTAAATAAAAGAGTATATACTTCAAGTTTACCGAGGGGATTACTTCAGTAAAAGCTAAGGAAAAAATAAAGTAAACACTAGGGTTCTAGATTTTTTTACAGCTCTTAAATTCTTTTTGAATCCTTCTCATTTGTTTTGGATATTTTACATTAACAAAAAGTTACTATCCAAGGGAAAGTTTGTTTGAGAACACAAGCTGATACTTCTATCAATTCTCCCCTAGGTCCATATACAACAATTATATTTCCTATTGTTAATAGGATTTATTCAAGCGTTTCAAATTTTGTAAGTGGGACTAAGTTCTAAAGGAGGAAACTATTTACAGAAAGCCCCTCAAAATAAGTTCTTCTCATTTTCTTTGTTGCTATATATTTATTCGTTCACAGACTTAGTTAAAGTGTATATCGTTTTTTTTGAAGATTTTATCGTTTAGGCAATAACGTCCTTTTCGTCAAAAATTATCTAACGGAATTTATACTCAAGTATATACTAACGTTTTTTTTTGAAAAAGGTGTGTCTCTTGCTTTTATTAGATTTTTATTTCCATTAGGAGATATTCACTATAGTTAACTCGTCACTTCTTTTAGTGTACCAAGCACAGTATAGTCAAATCCAGCTCTCTTGCTCCTTCAAAATCTCTGTACCCTGATCCTGGACTTTTTTCATTGGTGTCCATATTTAGTTTTTACAAAACATCGACTCTTTGAAAATCATCCATAAAATATACTCTTTTTGATTACAGCTATTTCTACACCAATCACAGCTAACTTGTTGTATAGACTCTTAGCAGCACATAAGGTATTTTTACTACTTTTCTAGCGCATGGTCTTGTGAACGTCTAAAAATCTATATATTATATATCGTTCTTATTATTCAACTCTTATTCTTTACATAATACCGTGCGCTAGAGTTTAAAGGTATTATTATTGAATTATTTATCACGAAATTTACGAGTTTTCATTTACAAGTATTTACCAAAACATATTTCAAACACTGAACTATCGTCATTTTTAATACATATTGTTTCATAACATTTCTTCTAGTTTATTATTTTTTATTCATATCTGAAAGCGTTCATACAGCGCAGTATTAACATACTATTCTGGGAATTCATTTTTTTAATTGATTTAGACTCATAAATCCTTCTTTCTCCAGGCAAGGAGTAGTGGTGATTGAGCAAACTATTATCCGAGGTGAAGCGTCAGATTAAGGAAAAAAATAGCTAAAGGGAAAAAAGGGATACTACAGGGAAAAGTCGGTGCCGCCTTGTGGCTTACTGCTGTTTTCTGACTTTTGAAGGTACTTTAAGCATTTATACCTTTTAGGGGGGGAGGGGGGGGCGCAATTTACTTGATTTACCAGTGTATTTCACTTTGAGCTGGAAGTGTAGACTTTAGTCTTGCTGTAGGCTTGACAGCAATGAGTTCAGGACGGCATCAGGGTTTTCACCATCCCGTGAACGCACCCAATGAGCGTTGCGACCACCATCCCATCCCATCCCATGTCATCTCCGCGCGACGGGGTTCCGACCCCGCGCTCACATCCTTCTCCTCCACACGAATCTTTTCAACGTCGGATCCGACCCCTCGGACGGCGTTGCCCTTCCCTCAAGTGAGACCTGACTTGAGCCACTGCCCCCCTCCCCCCCTTCCCCGCCCGGAGGACCCTTCCCCGCACCCAAGCCGGCACCCCCCGTACGGCCTGCCCCGGCGAGGCCTAACCCCGGCCGTGGTGAGCCCCCGCGGGGGG